CCATATAATATAGCTTTAAGTGAAATCAGACGACATCAAAGAACAACAAATCTTCTTCTAAGAAGATTACCTTTTTCCAGAGTAGTTAGTGATCAGAATATTATTATTACATTATTAATAATCATTTAATTGACGATCCGCGAATGAAGCAGAGAATTCTTATAGTGATCAGCGGTGCAAAAATGATACGGTGCAGATCATCTATAATAACAATTGGTCAACTTCAAAACACTAAAACTATATCATTTTAAAAAATTTAACCGACAAGTTTTTATTGTTCGTGACTCAAGCTTCAAACTTATCGGCTGGTTTTTTTTTTAAACTGAAAATTGGCAGAGCCTTAACATCTTGAAAATTCCGAATTTTGTTATAAATTGAGACTAAGTAAATTTCGTGTAACAACTTTTTTTCATAGAATATTTTCTACGACTCGATTTATTTATTTCCTTATTAATAAACAAAAGTTCTTTACAACAAAAAAGTTTAATTCGTAATCCGTGAAACAACTGCAAAAATTTGCCGATCATTAATATGTTTTTGTGGCGATAATAAACATTATTATTATAATTACAAACAAGCATAACATATAGAATCTATTTATTCTATTTATAAAAATAATACAATTTTACATACTTAATAATGATTCAAATTGCAAATATCTATGATTCTTTACCCACACCCCCAACCATTTAAACTAGTAAATGCGACATATTAAGACACCCAAGTGTTTATAAACAATAATTTAGATAAGCCTAATATTAAATTCATAGCATGACTACAAATTACAGTTGAAAGTAATACATTAATAAATAAAAGTTATTCAATCCATACATGTGTTTTGCATAGTGACCAAATTGTCTACATTTTCCACATTTACGACCTTTTATGTTAGAATTTTCACCACCTTTGCATATTTTTCAAACAAATTTTTAATCATTTGTGATGCATCAAAATCACCAGGGTTATTTTGTTGACGAATATTATAGACAGCATTGTAAAGGTCATATTTATTAATGGTGTTTTGTGGATAATCGTTAATTAGCAATGGATATATTGAAGCTGAATCCATCCTTCCTTTAACTACATATTTTTTGATATCTTTTAACATGGAAGAAGTAAGTTTCTGAAATTGAGGTACCATTTCACCTATCATTGTGTTCAAAGAATGATTGTGTGCATTTACAAAGGAATTAATTTTTATTACATTACTTGACTTTGGAAAAGAAAGATTAATATGCCATGGACATTCTGTTTTTTGAGAATGGACATTATGATGTTTTGTAGGATCTGTTGTAATTTGTGGATTGTGTTTGCCTGATTTTGTACATTCATATGTTAACCTTGTTACAATACCATCTTCAGATTCGCTTCGTCTAATCCTATAACTAAAACCCTCTTGTAATGCAAAATTATCAAAAAATAATTTTGCCTGTTCCCATGAAACGAAAGTAAGTCCTTCTTCCAGATTCAACTTATCAGTAAAATCAAATGAGTGTAAATTTTGTGACATTTTTGTTGTTGAAGGTGAAATTATAAAGAATAAAGTTTATTTTTTTTTATGTCGTGTATAAATATGAAAAAAAGTTTATTTTTATGTTAAGTTGCACAAACACATGATCCGGGTATTATACCCACCGGGTATGTTTAGATATTTTCTATTTTAAATTATTAAATAATCTAATTCTAACGAGATAAAATTATATATAACTGAAATGAGTTGTGTATATAAGACAATAAACGTGTTTTACCTTAATCTGAATATCATAAAGCTTTTTAATATTTAATTTAAAAATTATTTACAAACAAAAAAAAACTATGGAAATAACAGTAAAGGAAAAAAAATATGAATTCTTATTAAGTCAAAATTAATTTAATAGCTTTATTTTTATAATTATAGCTAATAAGCACACAGCTACTAAATTAACTAACATTATCATCATTGCTTTTGGTTCCGTGGTTGTTGCTGCCGTGATTGTTGATACCGTTAAAATTTCAACAACAGTAATAAAAAACAATCTTTTGTCATGTCGATCCAAATTATTACTATTACCATTTGGATCCGGTTCAGGTGTATTGTTATTATTGACAATATTAATCGGAATGTTTGAGCTTTGGTGAACATGATAATGACCAGGATAGGTTTCGCTAGGAATACTAGGAGCACCCGACTGTTCGCTAGAAGGAACATTATTTTGATAATTCATTGTGTTTTACTTTTTATAACTATCTCCGGATAAATGATAAGAAAAAATAATTATTTAATCAAAAACAGAAAAGAGAAAATGAAAATAGGAAGAAAATAGTTTATTCAGAAAATGAAAATATGGAAAATGTGAAATGGAAAAAAGAAGAGTTTTTTTATTCAATTATATACTTTTTAAAAGTTAGTAGCCAATCAACACATTAATTTAATTTGAAAGAAAAGTATGATATAATAAAGTTTTAGAAATATCCATTATGCTTTCTAATATTAATTTTCTACATTTGTCTTATATCGGGCGCCGACTGTATGTGGTAGTGTTTACAAATCCCCAATTAGTTATATAACTCTTTGTGAGACATATACACAAATAATATTTCTTTTTTACACCAATCATGCTGCTGCTTGGCTTTGACTAGTTTCGGAGAATTCATGTTATTCTTTTCCATTTTACTAGGAAACCTTTCGATGTCCTAAAATCTTTATTAGCATTAAAAGCAAACCTATCCAGATATTTTATTACTACAATACAGCCAGTATGATCAAGATTTGATTAAATTAAAATTACAAGATAATAATAATAATCTCAAGAAATAGTTCGAGCAAAATTTCAAGCCTTTCAAAATAGTATAAAGACTCCATGGTCATTGGACATATCGTTTGATGTATTTATTGCTTTATTAAACAAAGCTGAAGAAAGATTTGGTCTAAATTTGCCTCTAAAAGGGGACGATACGATATTGAAAATTTTCATTTTTTAAGTTCTGGGCAGCTGCCCATTTATCAAATGACTCGAATAGTTAAAGTAAATTTTGAAAAGATTCGTGATCTTATTATCAATAAAAAGTTTACTTACTCCATTCCCTCCGAGACCAAAAATCAAATTTGAAGACACAATTGAATATTTTAGAACAATGCAAATAATTAATCGAGAAGAGTTTCCAGCGAAAGATGGCTATGAGAATAATCAACATCTTCATATTATCGCAAGAGCAATTTATTAGAACATACTATTGTCGACATGTGGAAAGAGGTAGGCCACCATGACATTTGCAGAGATGTTAATGATTTGGTAATTCAAGGATGCATTCTAAGAATTTTTTTCCATTAAATACTCCCACTGGCTTGCATGATCCAAGCAAAAAAAAACGGCTGTAAAATAATTGTATGAACTCATTGGAAATTGACAAAAGTTGTAATATGTCTTGGCGAAATTGACAAAAGCTGTAATGTCTAACATTTTATGTCTTGGCGAAAATCAATTTGGTATAATTGGTGATTCTATTTTTTTGCGAGGTTAGAAAAGAACCAAAATCTGTCATAATTCAAAAATGTTTAGTTGAAATTACTCAAGTTGAAAGAGAAGTAAAGAATAATTATAAAGGTTTGGATTTTTTGAGAGATGATAAAAATGGGCCTGAATTAGATTTTGCATTTTGGAAAACAATTGTTCATCATGTTTTTTTTATACAGAAACTAAGGAAATCTCTTACCATATTCTTCATCTAACAGCAACAATATAAAACTCACATTCATCAAAACCCTTGAGACAATAATTTCATTGATCAAAACCCTGAAGAAAATAACTACATTCATCAAAACTTTGTAGACGACAATTTCATTCATCAAAACCTCACAGGCAATAATTTCGTCCACCAAAACTTTGTATACAATAATTACATCCATCAAAACAAATAATAATTTTATTCATTAAAACTCTGGAAACAATAATTTCATTCATCAAAATCTGAAGACAATAATTATCATTCATCAAAATACTAGAAAAAATTATTTCATTCTTCAAAACTCTGTAGACAATAATAACTTCATTCATAAAATCCTTTATTGGAAATAATTTCATTCATCAAGACCCTAGCAACAATTACTTTATTATGAAAGATGGCCTTAATTCATTGATAGAGGAAGAAGCTGGCGACAATGATTTTACTCGTATCTTAAATGATTGCCAAAGTTATTATATAATAATATCAATAAGTTTATAAATGCAGATATTATTTAGTAAATCGTATAAGAATGCTTACTCCAAGGGAGTTCTCTCTATGATTGGATATTAAGAAATTTCAATGTAAATTCAATAGTTACAAAATTATGTTTCCATGATATTATTATCTTGTCCAAAGCATGGATTGACATATAAATATAACTTCATACTAAGAGAAAAATTACAATTAGAAATTGTGCATATGAAAACAACAATCTTTTTCTGAATGAGTCAAAACCAGCGGAATTAATTGTGTCAACGTATTCCCAATGATTTTGAATGATCCTATCAATTAATGTAAAATTAAATTTTCTTTTTTCAAATTTTCTATAAAATAATGGGAAAGAAAAGTACAAGTTAATCAATATTGTTCAAACAGTATTCCCTCAAAATCGATAAATATAATGAATGGAAGTTAAATTTTTTTATGCCTTGCTCACTTCTTTGGTACTTATTGCAAATAATATACCATGTAACTCGTTCGCTTCTACTTCTGAATAATCGCTCTTTTCCTTCGATCCCTTTGTTTCTTCTCTTCTCACGATTATAATCTTCAAGCCTTCCAACTCGTCCAATATCCCCGGTTTCTCCTTCTATATCTGTCATATATATAATTTTTTTACACGCACTCCAAATATTCCTTTATTCCATCAATGGTCTTTATTGAAAGATCAACAAGTATATGGATAATCATTGTTTTTTGAATTTGGATACGTATTACAACACGTGGCGCGCCATTTTAGCATTTTTGATTATGTGGAGGTTAAATGTAAACCCCGAGTTGTCGATAAAATGAATGCCTCCCTTTAAATTTAATAATGAGCATCAAAATCGACTTAACAATAGTTATTATTTGAAACTTCATTAAAAGATAAATTAATATTTAATCTTTTGAATAAAATTAGTTGATGTCATGATTATTATCACTGTTGATTGATGAATAATGAATTGTTGTATATTTATTATTTATTTAGAAATTTCGAAGTTGAAATATTTTTATTATCATAAATACATAAGTAGTCGTTTATTGTTATAAAATTATTCAGTAGTTGGATTCTGGTCAACGAGACCATTATTGACAGTGTCCTGGTAAACGAGATTATCATTATTATTTACAATGCTAGTTGAGCCAATAACAGTAAGATCATTGGTATTATTGATTATGCTAATTGGACCAATAAAGGTGTTCTGGTCAATGATATTATTTATTACCGACAATACTCGTTGGAGTTACATTGTTTTGGTCGACAAAATTGTTTTGAGAAACGATTAAGTTTTTATTAAGGTAATTATTGTCAAAAGAGTTTGCTGAATGAAATTATTATGAACTAAATTGTGATGAGTGGAATTAGTATATATAGTCAACATTTGTTAAGCGAAGTTACTATCTACAGGGGTTTGATTGATGGGATATGAATTAGCATTACTTGTTTGTCAATTAGAACTAGCAACAATATTTAATTATCGAGATTAAAACGATTGACCAACAAAACATCGTGATTATTATTATTGCAGTATTATCAACATTGACAACATTATCAGTATTGTTATTATTATTTTATGAACTCGTTTGAATTATCGTTTCACATTTTGAACTCAGCACGTGTACATAAATACATGAGTGGGCTCCAAAACTAAATTTTAGATACGAAAGATAATTCAAATAATGCTGCGTCATCTTAACCGGGTCATTTTTAAGTCCTTGAAGATTTATAGTTGTCTTAAATAACTTTAAATGATTATAATACGTATGTCATATTAATATAGCATTAGATTATATACTTTTCTCGGCTGAACACAGTAATGAGTTTTAAAAATTTTGTTTCTTATTGATTATATATTTGTGATTAATACAACTGGATTTACAAACAAAATATAAAATATAAAAAAAGAATAAAATTTATGAATAATGGATTAATTATCGGCGCTATTTAAAATTTGGTTTATGAATTATCTATCTGTTGTTGTTGTTGTTGTTGTTATTCAAAAATTGGTTTACAAAATTTTGGAGGGTTTGAAGCTGAGATACTATGTAAATAAGTAGTTGATCATTGTTATTTTGATCAATGAAATTATTTGCGACGATAGAATTTTGATATCCAATAAAATTATTGTCAAAAAAATTGTTCGGATGATTAATGCTAGTAGCAATAGTTGGATTCTGGTCAATGATGTCATTGTTATTGTTGATAATTCTAGTTAAGCTCTGGTCAACAAAATTATTATTACTAATGATACCCGAGCTTTGGTTGGCGATATTATTTTGATGAATGTCGCCAAAGTTCTGATTAATGTAATTATTTCCGACAGAATTCTGGCTGTTTTGGTCGAAGTTATTGTCCCCAGGGTTTTGATGAATGTAATTGTTATAGTAGTGGCCAGTGGTTTGATTGACGTAATTGACGTAATTATAATTATCAGCATTGGAAACAAAGTCTTGATTATTAATATTGTTGTTAGAATCATTATTATTGCCAATATTTTCAGAATAATTTTGATCCATTTTTAGTTTTTTTTTTATATGTTGATTATGAACTTGGTTTTTTATTATGTGTTGGTTATGAATTTATTTTATATTATATTTATTAGTGATTATAATTATTTTTTGAGAGTTTTTTTTAAAAAAATAAAAATTTTCGTTTTCGAATTTTATCATCTTTTTTATATTATAATTATTTATGTGAATGCCACGGCATATTGTATAGAAAAATTTTATTATTCCTATAATAACACAACCTCCCGTTTTACAAACTTAGAAATTTGAAACTATTTAACGATGCAGTACTGTTACACTGTTTATTATTATACAAATATTTAACATGTAACTACTCCCGTAATAATTTATATTCGTTTAGGTCGACTGTTCATCGCCTGTTCGTCTGATTATTGATTTCAATATTCAGTTTAAGCTTCGCACTAATTTTCTTTAGGAACAAAGAAAATAATGTTTTTTATAAACATAATTTTTTGAAATTAAAAAAACAAGGTGGATGTTATTGAAAATTATTTTTTCTTGTGTTGGCCAATTAGAAATTACTGGTATAATAAAGTGTGACGTATTATGCTAATGGGATAATGATTACAACGATTTGTTGATTTATAAACCATTGGTGTCAAAAAGATCTTCGCCTTGGGAAAGCAAATTTTATTAATAATATTATTAATATTAATATTAATGTACAAATTAATAAATTGAAATTTTATGTTTCTTAATGAACCCATATATATACATATCAATTCATTTTCAAACGGTTAATTATATATCAATTGAGAAGTATATAAAGTTATTTAAAAAAAAAACAAATATTGAAAAAATTATTAAATTTTGTTTGTGTTAAATAAAAAAAAATGTGCACAATCATTCGTTTTTATTAAAAATGTGTCCACTAACAATAAAATAATTGATGGTTCCGCTATTTACAGAGACATTGAAAACAATAGTTATAACAAAATTTTATTTAAAGGTTACCTTGTAGGGTCATAGCCTCTAATAATTGAATTTAACAAAAATTGTATTTTGCAAGTAACTGGACGAATAGTAGAATATGTACTTATATTTATATATCTAGTATAGTGTTGTAATTACTGTAACAAAAATGTTAATTATAATTTTGTTATAGTTAAAGAAGATTCAAATAAAACAGAACTACCAGAAGATTTTCCATTGATTGTGTCTGCCCCCTACATCGAAGATATTGATGGTGAGTCATTATACCTTGCAAGGAATTTTTTAATGGTGTTACAGGAATAAAATAATTAACTCAAGTTAAATACTCAAAAGATGCTATAGAGGAATACAAAATACTAAAAAAAATTAATAGTGAAGGATTGAATAATTAAACTAGATTTCTCTAAATACACGTTCAATTGTATCTGTTATATCTGTCATGGTCTACAGCGCCCAGCTCAAGTATTTTAAAACTTGTTGTGTTGTTGAACGAAAAAAAATTTAACCATGGGATATTATAAACCTCATAAAGGTTGCTACAGTGGGCATCAGTGGATTGATCGGTCAGTATGTTTACTTGTCATAAAAATTGACGAAATAATAAAGAGTTATTGTTTCTATAAATTTACAACAAAAATTTGTGCATAATATATAACGAGTGCATGTGTGAACTCTGGGATTAAATTTTTTCTGTTTCGGGTATGGAATAATGCTGCGTCATTTTAACTGGGTTATTACTATCTGCTTATAATCAAATTTGATTTTCACAAATTTTGGAGATTTTGATGTAAAAATTGTTCGGATCATAGCAATAGTTGGATTCTGGTCAATGTCATTATTTGATTATTCCAGTTTTATTAATAATTTCGACAAAAAACATCGGAAAGAAAATCGTCAAGATTTTTTAAACATTTTATTTTGTTATCAACAGCATATAAAGTAGTTGATCTTAATGATAAAGTCTTTAAATTTTCAAATGCTGGTAATAATATATGATCTATATTATTTCCCCATTACTTGAATAACAAATTGTTGGTTGTGTACAGTGTGTTAAGAAAAAAACAGCGGTGACAAAAAATTGCATATTTCAACAATCACTTAACATAAATAAATTTGGATCCGTTTGAAAGTTTATCAATTTACTAAATTACGTTAAATAAAAAAAATAGACATGAAATGCTATTGCCAATTTTCTGTAAGGCTAATTTGTATATTTATTTTAAAACTGCTAAATTTTTGTCTCTGAAATTTTAACATGAAATTTTTTAATAATAGCTCTGACACAAAACTTTCATACTTCCAGATTTTCTATAATTTTGTCAATTGGAAATAAAAGGAATTTGGTTATTTTGAAAAAACAATTCAATGCGTAAATTTCTTTAATAATTGCTCTAAAGCCTACATAATAATATGCTTCAAAAATTTTATATGTTATAATCCAAGATCCTCCGATTCTCCGGTATAATTTTTATTGTATAATTTTGGCTACTTTTTCATCAAAAACAATATTTTACAAACCGCCGTTTTTTTCTTAATACACTGTATGTGTGAGTACTGCATTTTTGAAATAATCTGAAAAAGCATGGTATAAATCAATAATTTGTTGCTTTATTTGATTTTGTGCCTTGATTAGTTGAGCCAGACTATATTCAATTCACCATTAAATACATTTGCAAATATTCACTATTACCAGTAAGTCTACATTAAGATTCTGAAAACTATTATCAAATCTATTTACCCAATAACAATCCATGTCACCAGTACTAAGTTCTCCAATGACTGCTGAGCGATCTGGAATAAATTTCATTAATCCGCTTGTAAAATTTCCAATCCAGAAGTTTTTGAAAGTAACAACTATGATAAAATAAAATCCAGCGCAAAATCCTTATCTTCTTCCAAATAAACAGTTGATTATTATATGTTGGTGCTTTCTTTAGAATAAAATGAAACTCTCCATAAAATTGGAATATTATTATAATATTGTGCCATTGTTTATTGATAAGAATGAAAGAATATGATGTTTTATAATCATCCTCTTGTATTTAATAAATATTTCAATTTTAAATAAGAATAAATTTTGGTGACTTGTTGCTAATTTATTGATCAATAATGACTTTACCATTTGAGCTTTTAATTAATAATATGTTTATTGAGAAGGGCGTATGCCAAATGAAACAAAACATGCAATAAATAATAAGGCTGAGATGCAATACCATATTACGTTAGGCTGAGTTTTCACTAGTACAGAGTATAAAAAATCAAATAGTGGTGGAACAAATATACGAAGAATTGAATCTACTACACTTATTCCGCCTAAGAATTGACCAATTTGAGATGGAGATATTAGATTTGTCTGCAATGATTTTATTGCAGGGGTAGTTATTATACCCAAAGAAGCTATCACTGTTACTGTAATAAATTGAAGTGAGAAAAGGGGATGATGAATTAGAAAGATGAGGCAGATGGCAATCGCAAGTATAGATAAAAAAAGTAAATTTGTTTCAAGTTACCAGCATTAAATACTGCACCGGATTTTGCTAGGCCATATGCAACATGAGATAGAGCGTCAATAAAGAATATCAGCCTGATTAATTGGACTTCTGATATTAACTCATTTTTCATTAGTTTCTCGTCATCTTTATCATTCACATTATCTGTGAAAATCTCGACATCCATACCATTGTCATCTTCAATAATTATTTGCTCTTCTGTACTGTTATTCATTGTATTTTTTGAAGGAGTTATTAATGCAAGGACTTTTATCTTGAATTTTGATGTTAATCCAAGTATTGGTTCTTTGAATTTTACTATTAGTGGATACAAAACAAATAAAACAAATACTTTCGTTCCGCTCATTAAGAATACAAAATAACCCTGTTCTAGTAACGACCAGTTAAATACTAATGATGTATATAATATATATACAGTTGTCATAGCCATTATCGAAGATGACAATAATGAGTATACTATTCCTAATAGCGAGAATGAATATCTTGAAGCAGCGATAGGAACTTTATCATTATCATTATCTTGTTGTTGTCGTCCATTTGGAAAAAATAATAGCAATGGTCTGAACATAACATAGACCCATCTGAGAAAAGAATCAATCAATTTAATTCCCGTCCAATTTATTGCAAATAACTCTTGTTGACGTTTCACATTCAATGATAATTTTTCCTTTGTTAAAGATTCAGGTAATATAAAAAGGTAAAATAAAAGCAACATAATATATACTGTCAAAGTTACATAGTATACTGAAAGTAAATTATGTGTTGCATTCACCAACAATCCTCCTAATGTTGGTCCCACCATATATCCTGCAAACATTGCCCCTTGTATCCATCCAAAGATCACATTCCTATTAACATTAACATTTAGGAGAATGGGTACGAGAGAAATAAATAATTAGGAATAGATATTAGAGAAATATGTTGTTAGCACAGCAAACAACACAAAAAATTACCTTCGTGTGGGATGAGTAGAATCTGTTGCGTATGCATAGCTTGCTTCTGATAATGCATAAAATCCACCTGTTACTCCATCTATGAATGATCCTATTAAAAATCCATTCACTCCAACCTTGTCTAAAAATTTACAAACTAACAACAGATTCAAAGTGCTTAGAATCGTTCCAACAACTGATATCAGTAAAGTTTTTTTGCGCCCCTTCCTATCTGATAAAGAACCAAGTGGCCCAAGAACAAATATGGCTAATGAACGATCAAAAGAAAAAAAATACATGTAGGTAAAAATTAGCTAAATCATGCCAAACTCTAATTATCTTAAATTAGATTATTTCTTTTTAAAAGATTATTTACCTGGGATCGCTGTACAAAAATTTGCTTTGATAAGGAATCGAGCAGTTACTGCTTGCACATCAGCATTATTACATTTATCAATAATACCATTAAATAATAAAGGAATTGAAGCTTCTCCATTTTTTGAATAATATTCATGGCATACAGCTCTTAAATAAACTTGCACTCCAACTGCTACGGCCAACCCGCTTGTCATTGCTATCACTACAAACATTGGTATTAACCAATATGCAGAAGGTGTCTTGTACCATGGTTTTTTAAGAGGCAAATTTGAGGTGGAAGGCTCTTGTTCTTCAACTTCAACATCGATTTTATCAGAAGTGGGTCTTGTAGTCAATTTTTTTTTAAAAAAAAAATGAAATGCTTTGAAAAATTTTTCTTTGAAATAAAAAAATATCTACATAACTATATAATACCTTAAGGAAAACTTACAAAAGAATGTATCTTGAGGTTTTATTACTACTACTACTATTCTCCATTTTGACGAGCCTATTCCATAAAATTTAGCCTAATTATCAACTTTAATATTAATGAAAATAAATAAAAATTTGCGTAATATTAATTTGGGAATTTATCTTTTTGGGAAACAATGGTATGATCAGCAATGTCTCATGACTATATAAATCATGAAATAGAATTCTTAACGATAGAGGATTCAAGATGAAATACCGTGGTATTTCCACCCCATCCTTAACAAGACCGTTCAAATGCATGACCAGGGCCTCAGACAATCACATTTGAAGTGGTATGGAAGGAAGAACATGTGGAACTAAAAATTACTGTTGTGAAAAATTTTGAGGTAAAAAAAGAAAAATTATCGTGAAAGAGAAATAGTTGAATGGTTTGTAATGTGGGAAGAAAATAAAATTCAATATTCTCTAAATTTTTGTGGATACCAGTGGATGTAGGGTGCAAAATACGGGCATAAGACCGGATTGCTATGATAGCAAATCACTTCAATTATAACAAATCCAGAAAGTCATGTTCACCATGTCTGAGTTTGTTGCAGCCTGTCTCATATCACAATAATGTTGATGGATGGATGATAATTAATAATAATCGATAATGATTATATAATTTTACCAATTGCACTTTACGAAATTGTGGTAAAATTGTTTCCTAACTTTACGTGAATAATTCTTGTCGGTTTAATCATTTTTGCTTTCTTTAGAATCAGCTTTATTGCTTTGATCTTTCTTGTCCGACACTTCTTGTAAACTCGATCAGTTTAATGATATTTTTTTATTTAATAAAACTTCGATTTAAAAATGAAATCATTTATTTCCCCTTCTTTTACCAAAATAACAATCATCCTTTTATTACAAAAAAAATCAAGAGATTTTTTTAAGTGTGGTCTTGTCTCTTATTATTTATTATACGTTCGTAGCCAAATCTTAATGACCATGCAAATCCTTCCATCTGGTTACAGATCATAAAAAAATTGTTTTAATCGTATTATTAATGCTCTCAACAATGACTCCTTTACCTTCATAGTCTTTACAAATAGAAATCAATATATTTTAATTAAGAAATTTTTTAGTATCAATTTAGATTAAAGGCATAAGCTCTGAATTTATAGGTTCTGAATGTTGATTTTGTTGGAATAAATGGTAAATTCTGCCAGATATTAGAGTATTTATAGAGACATTGTTTGTCATATTACAATATCGTGTAATCGCTATATTTATCACACTTGCTATTGACTTGCTGGAGATAGAAATTCAATTATACACAAATTAGTTGGTTCGATCTGTTCTTTGTTATTAGAATTGAACCTCTTGTTACCAACCAAAGCTACTCCTTCCACTGCAAAACTTTTCGTTTAATCGATGCATACACTCATTTATTATTATATAAAGAAATATATGGCCATAATTTTCAAGTTAAAATGAAAACGAAAGGTCAGATGATGTTATTTTGTTAATAAAAAAGGCGAGAGTTTTTGCACGAAAATTATGGCTCAATGATTATGATTAATTAATTTTCTTGATGTTCTTGAAAGATGACAAAAATCATTCTTTACTTTATCGTTAACGACATATTAGCATGTGACAAAATGAGAAATTAAATAATTGAGTTTGACAAAACACTCGAAAGGAGAAGATTAAAACAACAAAGGCTTAATTTAATAGAAAAGTTTCAAATGCATTTTAAATAAGATTATTGTAAACTTCTTAGAACCTGCAATCATCAGAGACAATAACTGGTTAAAAATATACAGAAATAGTGATTATAATAATGGGTTTTCAAAAGGATCTTCTAGATACGAAGAACGCGATGATAGGTTCTTCTGAATTGTTATGTGGTTTTCGCATAATGTTGAAAGTTTTTGCCTCAAAACGACATTATTTGATAAAGAAAGTAAGTGAATTCCGCCTTATGAGGGACTTAACTCTGATCTAAAAGAAGAAGATAGGATGAAATATTCAATTCCTTGTTTTCATGATTATAATGTTGAATAAACATATATGGCTTGAAACGTGAATTGCTGTTTTATCATTTCAGACGTGACTCTTCGAATTGGAAATAAAAATAAAACAGTTATTAGAAGCAACATTTTAATTAAATAGTGAGGTATATATTTCTATTTCTAAACGTTTGGTAAAAGGCAAATATTATTTATCAAGTTATCTGTGGTGGTGCTAACAATGAAGAGACTTTTTAAATAATATTATTGGAAATCGTAAAGAAAATAATAATAATAAAATGTTCAAGTAAATTCCATTTTTTCGCATTAAAAAAAATATATATATATACAGAAGCATGGTGGACATTCTTATAATTGGTAATGATTTTCGTCGATCAGATTACACAAAAAAGAAATTTTGATTGGCCAAATAGATTACACAAAAATTTAGAGAAGAGGCTTCGTGACATATAAGTTTTATCAAGTAGATATTGGAAGCAAATAATGCAAAACCATTAATTTAACAATAATCAAGAACAAACTACC